GATAAAATTACTATGATCTGGTAATTATAATTGATAAAATTACTATGATCTGGTAAATTTTTAGGAGCTTGTTAGGATTAAATTTGTAAAATGGCATCTAATACTTGCCAAATATTTTCTAGTTTGTCCCAGTCAGGTTACAGATTTCTCTCCCAAAAGCCCTGACACCTTTAAAATGTTTGAACTTAAGATTATTTTTCCATGTATAAAATAAGTTTGTTAGTGAATTTTAAAAAGGGACTGTGGGGAGCAACTCGGACTAGACTAAGTTACTGGAATTAAGACTTATTCTGGCCGGCGCCGCGGCTCACTAGGCTAATCCTCCGTCTTGCGGCGCCGGCACACCGGGTTCTAGTCCCGGTCGGGGCGCCGGATTCTGTCCTGGTTGCCCCTCTTCCAGGCCAGCTCTCTGCTGTGGCCAGGGAGTGCAGTGGAGGATGGCCCAAGTGCTTGGGCCCTGCACCCCATGGGAGACCAGAAGTACCTGGCTCCTGCCATTGGATCAGCACTGTGTGCCGGCTGCAGCGCGCCGGCCATGGCGGCCATTGGAGGGTGAACCAACGGCAACGGAAGACCTTTCTGTCTCTCTCTCTCTCACTGTCCACTCTGCCTGTCAAAAAAAAAAAAAAAAAGACTTATTCTATTTATTCTATGCATCTGCTCTCCCACAATATGGCGCTGGGAGAGGAGTAAACAACTTCTACACAGCTGCCTCCAGTTCGACCAATAACCTGCAGGAGCTGATCCTGCTCCTGATTGGAGGAGAGCAGCGTACTCGGCGTGTGGGTAGCAGAGTTGGGATTGGAGGAAGAGGACTATAAAGGAGGAGAGAGACAACATGCACCAGGAACATCTAATGGGAACATCCGGATAACATCTGAGCAGCCCCGGAGAGAGCCGGCCGGCGGTGTGCCGCTCCCCCGCGGAAGTGGGGAAAGTGGCAGGGAGAGCAGCCAACCCGGGAAGAACCAGCAGCAAACCCGGGAAGGGCCCAGCAGACAAAAGAACAGCGCAGGGTCCTGTGTCGTTCCTCTGCAAAGAGGGGAAGCGACAAGGGACCTGAGATAACTTGGGTCCCAGCAGCTAATGGATATTAATGGCATGGGAAAACTGTTTACAAACTGAACTACAGAAAGAAGCCATTTCCAGAGCTAAAATGGAATTCCTTAAATATGCTCCGCAAAGAATGATACAGGAAATAGGTAAACCGAGAATTAGAATGGGTCTAAATTTTTAAAAACTATTTCATGTGAAACTATTTCCCATGCCAGTTTTTTTGGTAAGGGAAACTACTATTTGGGATTGCAGTCTTACAATCTTTGATTCACTTTTTTTTTTTTTGACAGGCAGAGTGGACAGTGAGAGAGAGAGAGAGAGAAAGGTCTTCCTTTGCCGTTGGTTCACCCTCCAATGGCCACCACAGCTGGCACACTGCACTGATCTGAAGGCAGGAGCCAGGTACTTATCCTGGTCTCCCATGGGGTGCAGGGCCCAAGCACTTGGGCCATCCTCCACTGCACTCCCTGGCCACAGCAGAGAGCTGGCCTGGAAGAGGGGCAACCGGGACAGAATCCAGCACCCCGACTGGGACTAGAACCCGGTGTGCTGGCGCTGCAAGGTGGAGGATTAGCCTATTGAGCCGCGGCGCCGGCTCTGATTCACTTTTAACATCATTACCAAATTCTTTCTAGAACAAAGTGTTAGTCTTCTTAGAAAAACTTCAGTAGCTTGCCATTGTCAGAGCAGTGCCATTATCTGGATGTGACTTTCTTAACTTTTATCTTGGATTAGTTCCTCACACTCTGGACTAGCTAGGCCAAATACTGCCTGCAGTCTACATTCAGCCTACCATCAGTCTCTTTGACTCGAGTTACGGTTTTTAAATTTTTCAGTCGGAAAAAATGAAATTGCTGTATGTGAAAACACATTCAGGCCGGCGCCGCGGCTCACTAGGCTAATCCTCCACCTAGCGGCGCCGGCACACCGGGTTCTAGTCCCGGTCGGGGCGCCGGATTCTGTCCTGGTTGCCCCTCTTCCAGGCCAGCTCTCTGCTGCGGCCAGGGAGTGCAGTGGAGGATGGCCCAAGTGCTTGGGCCCTGCACCCCATGGAAGACCAGGGAAAGCACCTGGCTCCTGGCTCCTGCCATCGGATCAGCGCGGTGCGCCGGCCGCAGCGCGGCGGCCATTGGAGGGTGAACCAATGGCAAAAGGAAGACCTTTCTGTCTCTCTCTCTCACTGTCCACTGTCACTGTCTCTCACTGCCTGTCAAAAAAAAAAACAAAAAAAACAAAAAAACAAAAACACACATTCAAATTCCAGATCCTGCAATAGTTTCACTGGTACAGAGTCATCCTCATTTGTACACATTGTCTACAGTTTTTTAAGCAGTTCTAGAGTTGAGAAGTTACAACTGCGCCCTTATGCAAAGCTATCGGACCCTTTATAGAAAAAGCTGCCTAACCCCTGACCTAGACATTCTAGTTTCTATCTCCTCACCTATCAAGGTTTCTACTGTCACCTTTATGAGGCTGTCAAGGTAGAATTTTAAAGAAAGTTAAAAACATGACTCTTTCTAACATTTATTTGAAAGGCAGAGGAAGGTCTTCCATCTGCTGGTTCACTCCCCAAATGGCTGCAACAGCCAGAGCTGGGCCCATCTGAAGTCAGGAGCCAGGAGCTTAGAGCCTCTTCCCCTCTTCTGAGTCTCCCACGTGGGTGCAGAGGCCCAAAGATTTGGGCCATCCTCTGTTGCTTTCCCAGGCACATTAGCAGCGAGCTGGATCAGAAATGGAGAAGCTGGGACTTGAACTGGCACGCATATGGGATGCCCGCACTGCAGGCGGCTTTACCTACTATGCAACAGCGCAGGCCCTTAACAACAGGATTCTTCCACAGTGAGCTAAACTCCAACTGGCAGAATCAGTACAACGGTAAAGCTGGTTCCAGGAACATTTAAAGAGCAAAGTATTGACAGGTTTAAAGGTAAAAATTAGAGTAAGGCTGCAAGTTACCTTTTTTTTGTGTGTGTGTAAAGATTTATTTCATTTGAAAGACAGATTTACAGAGAGGTAGAGACAGAGAGGTCTTCCATCTGCTGGTTCACTCCCCAGATGGCTGCAACGGCTGGAGCTGGGCTGATCCAAAGCCAGGAGCTAGGGGTTCTTCCGGGTCTCCCACGTGAGTTCAGGGGCCCAAGGACTTGGGCCATCTTCTACTGCTTTCCCAGGCCATAGCAGAGAGCTAGATTGGAAATGGTGGATCAGCCGGGACTAGAACTGGTGCCCACATGGGATGCTGGCACTTCGGTCAGGACTTTAACACGCTGCACCTCAGCACTGGCCCCAAGGATGCAAGTTAAATAAAATTGTTTTGCATCCCACAGGGCAATACCACCTTAACTTGGGGTTTGTTTTTCTATCAGAAATCTTACAATTCGAGAAATTTCACAATGTCTAGCCAGGTCAAACACAGGTATCTAGAATTAAATAACCATGGGGCAGATTATAAACAACAGTCCAGTGTGAACTGAAAGGCCATTCCTCCACTCTTTGCCTTATTTGCCATTTGGTCAGTTTTTCTTAAGGCCTGTCCTGATTCTTCCAAAGTACACCTCTCGCCCTTTCAGGCTCCCATTCCTTTCCCTACTTTTATTACAGCACCCAGTTCTGTCTTCCCTGACAGGTATTAGGTTCCTAGGCATCCCAGTACTTAAACTGGGATTTTATCTTCCTTTTGGGACTTGCGTGTAGGGTCCAAGTTCAATAAGCCCCCAGCACCGGTCTTGCCTAAGTCACAACACCTTCTCCCTTAATATGACGGCCTCATTCTTTCCAAGCGTCTTATGCTATTTTCCTTAAGCCTCCGTCTTCCAAAGAGGTGAATTTCCCCCTTACTTCTGGTAGGCGAGCTCTGTTTTGATATTTTTGGTTACCACCCATTAAGATCCTTAACTCGTAAAAAAAAAAAAAAAATGAGACCCTTCCCCCAGCTGACTCCTCAGAGCCAAGGAGCGTCGCAGTCTCTCCAGTCCCAGACACCGACCCTGTTCCTTCAAACATTATTCCTGCGCCACCTTCGGCACCAGGGGCTCAGAGCGGCGGCAAACGCCCGCCGCCTCCCACGGCGACCGCGGCTCCCCAGCCAAGGCCTCCAACCTTCAGAAACGCGGCCTGAGGCCCTGGACTGAGTTGGGCCGCGGTCGCAACTGCGCCCCTCACAGGCTCGCCACGTCTTCCCGCGGCGACACGTTTGCCTCCCGCGGCTGGCTCACTCCCTCCAAAGCGGCCAAGGCCCCACTTCGCTTCTCAAGGATCACGACCCCGCGTCCCTGCCTCCCACTGCCGACGCGGCCCGTTCCCCAGCGACATCGCCAGGGCCGTGCGGCCGCGGACGGTTGGGCGGCCAACGGCTCCCCGACGCGAGGCGGCAGCGCGGCGGGCGAGGCGGGAACGAGGCGGCCCGGGGCGGGGGCGCAGGGCGGCGCCGGCGCGGGGAAGGATCGCGAAGGAGCGGGGAGGCCCCGCCCTTTCCGTAGAGATCTCTAGAAAGCCGCGCAGCGGCCCGAAAACACGGACTGCGCACGCGCGGCGGCCGGGCCCGGGCATTTTGCTGCGTCACCAGCCGCCGCCCGGCCTCACCACCCCTCGCTCGCACGCACGCACGTTCCTCCTCCGTCCTCGCGCCCCTTTTCCTACACTTTCCTCTTCTCCCCGACCGGAGGAGCCGCTCGCGCCGCGCGGTGCATTCTGGGGACCCAGGTCGAGCCCGCCGCCGCCGTCGCCGCCGCCGCCTGAGGGGAGCGAGGAGAGGCCGCGACCGGAGAGAAAACGCCGGAGTCGCCGCCGGAGAAAAGTCGACTCCCCAGCCGCCGCCGCCGCCGCCAGCGAGGCCCGCCCACCCGCTCGCCCGTCCCCCTGCCCCGTTCACAATGTGAGTGCGACACCCCGCCGAGTGAAGGTCGCCCCGGGAGTGAGGCCGAGGCCGCCCCGGGGCCCCCAGGCCTTGGGCTCCTTCGCCCTTCTCCCCTCCGTGGTGGCAGTCGCTCCTGGGGGTGGGAGGGCCGGGGTCCTGGTTCCGGTTCCCGTCGGCGGGGGGAGGACATTTTTTCTCCAGATGTCCTCTCCCCGCACCTTTAAGCCGTCCCTCAGCCTCCCCTGCCCAGAACTCGTCCCTTTTTCGTAACTTAGCCCCAGGCCCTCAGCCCTGGCGAGCTCTCGGCCATGCGGGCGCCCTGCAGGCGGGGACCCTCGTGGGCTGCCCGGGCAGTCGCTCCCGCCGCCCGTGACGCCGCGCCAGGGCCAGGTGCACCTGTGGTGGCGGCCACCAGACGCCCGCGGCCCGGGCTCCCCGGTGGAGCGGCACGCGGCCGTGCGCCATGCGCGGCGGGCACTGCTAGGCAACTGGGGGGTGGCCATGCCGCCGCCACAACTTCCTGTCTGCTGGGTCGTGGGGGTCCTTGCAGGCCGCCTGCTCCCCCCAGTGCCCGGGGAGAGGAGGGCGAGTGCCCACCACGCACTCGGCGACTTCCCTGGCGGCGAGGAGGAGTGACCGTTGAGCAGGTAGTTGTGCACGTGTCCAGGCCAGGCCGGAGAGAACTTGTGGACATTTTCTGTGTTCCCCAGGAAACTTGAGGAGATCACTTTTCGCTGTGAGATGGGAAGAGGTGTGTGATCACCTTTTGTTGACGTGGAAGCGACTGCAGATTTTTTTCTTTTTTGCACTTTTTTTTTCTTTTTATGAATCATGGTAAAGTCAAACCTTGGTAGTTTTCCTAAGAATCCTTGGCCCTGCCGCCTCCAGGCCTTCCGTTCTTTTCAGAAAAAGCTTTACCTCTTCCACTGCGCGGATAGTCGGGGTTTGGGGGTCATTTTTGCTTCATGTTCTTGGGTTTCCTGGGTGCTGACTTCCCTGAAAGTTTTAGGGATGAACAGTTGAAAGGGAGCAATTTTGATTCCCACAGAAAGTAATACCCTTGAAAGAGTTAATATCAGGTAAGTATATAGGGTAAAAATCTCCATGCCCTCCAGCCAGTTGAAGAGCGCCAAGGACTCCAGAAGAAAGCCTGTATCCCTGCAAGGGCGTGTGTTTGCATTATGGAGAATTTTTTTTTCGCTCAAAAGAGATGTCTAAATTTTTTTTAAAGAAGGATTTAGATCTATATAAAACAGTTCCTAATTTTTCCTTTGAAATCTGAGTTACATGGCAAAGAGTCAGTCTTAAAACGACTTTTATAACTTGAAAATTGTCTGATACAGCATTACTAACTTGTAAATGCAGTTACGTAGCCAAACGAAAATAGCTTTTCAAGAAGAAATATTTTTTTAAACAGCTTGAAATAGTGACTCTGGAGGTCAGAAAAAGTAGCTAAATGGGTAAGAAACATGAAGTTTTGTAGATATGTGGGGACTTAAAGTTTGTAGGAAAATGAGATTAAAGGTAAGGTTATTTTAGTCCAAAAAGTTTTGAGCTCATAGTTTATGGACAATGTATATTAAAATTGTGCATTACAAAAATTTTTACACCAGAATTCTTCCTTCACAAATTCTTTGAAGTACCCTCTTAGATTAAAAACTTGGAAGAAAAGTGTAGCAGCCGTAGTCCAAAAAAGCAGTCTCCATGTGGTCACACGAACGCTACCTTCAAAATGAGTGTTTTCCAGAAAGCAGGTAATTCTTACTCTGTTCAAAATGGTATGTGCCCTCTTGTAAATTTTTCAGGGGGTCTTACCTAACCTAGTGACTTAAGTGAAATTATAGAATGAATATTATGAGTTGGAAGAAACCTTTAATGGGCCATCTAGTTCTCAGAAGAATCTGCTTGACTGATAAGGGTTCATTTTATTGATTTTATTGATGTCAGTTACAAAGATTTTTTTTTTAATATATAGAGGGAGACAGTTATGTATCTTAAAGGCTTGGAGGTGTGTGATTATACAAAGTTAATAAAAGTTTTAATAGTTTTTATGAGAACTCTTAATTTGACTTCTTCCTTGTAGTAGGCTGGAATTTTAAAGTTACTCTTTTCTCCCTTTTGAGAATTTGTGCTAACCTAACCTTATGAGGGGTGCCACTCTGAGGTTTTCTTTTAGTGATTGTTGTTGGGTACATTAACAAATATAAAGTAAAATGTTTTGAGATACTCTAAGTAATTTTTAATGCTCCATGTCTTTATTGTCTTGAAACATACTGTGTCTGTCTCTGTTGGTTAAAACCTTTGCTACAACTCAGCGTTGTAGGGTAGGATCCCCAAAATAAAATCGTCAGTCTTTGGCTTTCAGGACATCTTTCCCTAGTGAGAATATGTTGTATAGTGAATTTCTGTAAGTTAGAAAAGAGTAACTGGTCATGGCCTTTGTTCGTGTTGATTTTCTAACCACTGTAACCTGGCAACTGGATTTTCTTCTTTTTTTTTTTTTTTTTTTCCTGTGCTGAGTTAGACTTTAACTAGAAGGCAGTAGAAACTGGAAATGGCATGACTGAGTGCAAGCCACTTTTGCTAAATTAAGATTCTACTGTTTATATTTTGCTTGAAACTCTTTTAGAAGCCATATGATTTGGTGGTTTTAACGTGGTTAGAGATTATTATATCAATTGTTCAGAATCACCCTCTTATTGCATTTATTGTGTTTTGCCATGGAAAATCGAAGTATGTGGTATTAAACTTATTAATTTATGTGGATGGGCAATGATAGATTTTAAGTTGAAGCTGCTTCCCTCATATATGTATGAACTTAGGGTTTTCCATGAAGATACCAGTTAACATTTACCTTGAGCACTAGGCCCTCCTCCCCATAACATGTTATTACAAAGCTGAAATAAAATGTACTGTTAGATTTTTTTTGTCCCACAGTTGCTTTTCACATGTAGTTATGCTTTGTCAATAAAGAATGTATGTATAAGTATCATTTCCAACTCAGGATATTCAGATACATTCATGGATTGAAAGGATCTCAATCAACAGGTTTTTAATATTAGGCTGTGGGAACTAATTCTTAAAAGTACTGATTAGTATCATAAGAGAAAATCCAAAATGGGATTGGAACCCAGGGTTTTTTACAGACTTTCTTTCTTGAGATGTATTTATATTGACGAGAGATCTTCCATCCACTGATTGACCGCCCACTGACCCGCAACAGCCAGGTCTGGACTAGGCCAAAGCCAGGAACTGCATCCGGCGTGATGGGAACTCATACTTGAGCCATCAAGTATGCTTCTCAGGCGCATTAGCCGGGAGCTGGATCAGAAGCGGAGTAGTTGGAACTAGGACTCAAACCTGCTCTCCGTTATGGGATTTGGGCATCCCAAGTGGAAGCTTAACCCACAAAGTCTACCTCCAGAAGACTTTTGCTACTTCATAAAAAGGAAAACAACGTTCAGGGTGTACCTTCTTTTTCCAAATAAACAGCCATGTCTCTCTGGTTCAGATTTATTATATACTCTAAGCTGCTTGTCTTACAACCTATGCCATACTTCTTTTTGATTTATTTATTTGGAAGAGTTACCAGAGAAAGAGAGGCAGATGCCTTCCATCTGCCAGTTCACTCCCCAGATGGCAGCAACCCCTGGGACTGGGCCAGGCCAAAGCCAGGAGCTTCTAGGTCTCCTACTTGATTGGCAGGGACCCAGGTACTTGGACCATCTTCTGCTTTTCCCACGCCATTAGCAAGGACTTGCAACAACACCCATATGGGATGCCAGTGTTGCAGGTGGTGGCTTTACCTGCTGTGCCACAATGCTGGCCCCTGTGCCATACTTGACATAATGGTAGTAAATGCTTGTGTGTATAAAATTTGTATCTTACTGAGGCAATAAGACTGACAATTAACCTTGAATCTTTTTTATGAAGAAAAAAAATTCTAAGATTTATTTCAGAGAGTGGCAGAAACAGAGCTCTTCTATGCACTGGTTCACTCCCAAAATGGCCACAGCTGCCAGGGCTGGTCCAGACTGAATTCAGGGTCTTCCGTGTGAGTGGCAGGGGCCCAGGTACTTAGGCTATCATCTGCTGCTCTCTCAGGCACACTAGCAGGGAGCTGAATCAGAAGGAGTGTAGGCAGAATTGGAACTAGCACTGATATGGGATGGTAGTCTTGCAGTTTAATTCACTGTGCTAAGGCACTGGCCCCTGGAGAAATATTTTTATCTGCTTTGGGGATCTTAAAAGGAAGAATGCGCAGAAGCAGTAAGGTGAGGAGGCTGTTAGCTCGAATAACTTTTACCTTTATATCTTGGAACAGAAATTGCCAAATAAAGGAACTAGCACAAAAATTCAAAGATGTTCCTGTTTCATGGTGCCTTTGGTGCCTTTTTACTGTCTTGGTGGTCCAAAAGGAGTAATTACCAATTCTTCCCAACAGGCTCCTAGTTATTTGAGAAGCTAATACACAAATATACGTACCATAGCTACTAACAGGATATATATGTTGGGCACTGTATAACTTAGCTAATTTTTGGAGTCAGATAATATACATAGGTATCACTTCTGTTAACTTGCTGGTGTGTGTGATGGGCTGGTGAGTTGGGAGTACTTGTTTTGATTTTTTGTGTGTGTGTGTGTGTGTATGAATCAGCTGTCACCAGAAATCCAACTTTGAAATGAGACTTTTTTTTTTTTTTTTTTTTAATTTTTTTTTAACAGGTAGAGTGGGCAGTGAGAGAGAGAGAGAGAGAGAGAAAGGTCTTCCCTTTGCTGTTGGTTTACCCTCCAATGGCCGCCGCGGCCGGTGCACCACACTGATCCGATGGCAGGAGCCAGGTACTTATCCTGGTCTCCCATAGGGTGCAGGGCCCAAGCACTTGGGCCATCCTCCACTGCACTCCCGGGCCATAGCAGAGAGGTGGCCTGGAAGAGGGGCAACCGGGACAGAATCCGGCGCCCCAACCGGGATTAGAACCTGGGGTGCCGGCGCTGCTAGGCGGAGGATTAGCCTATTGAGCCACGGTGCCGGCCCTTTTTTTTTTTTTTTTTTAGATTTATTTATTTGAAAGTCAGAGAGAGAGGTCTTCCATCCTCTGGTTCACTCCAGCAATGGCTGGAACTGCACCTTTCCGGAGCCAGGAGCTTCTGGGTCTCCCACGCGGGTCCAGGGGCCCAAGAACTTGGGTCATCTTCTGCTTTCCCAGGCCACAGCAGAGAGCTGGATTGGAAAAGGAACAGCCGGGACTAGAACTGGCACCCGTATGGGATGCCGGTGCTTCAGGCCAGGGCGTTAACCCACTGTGTCACAGCACTAGCCGTGAGAAGATGAGACTTAATGGAGAGGACGTTGAAACTAAACCACCTCAAACTGGTATAATGGCTTGCTTGGTGTCTTGTGTGAGGTTCAGTGAATTCCTCTCATTTTATTTTTTTAAGATTTATTTCTTTATTTGAAAGTTAGAGTTACACAGAGAAGGAGAGTCAGAGAGAGAGAATGGTCTTCCATCTGCTGGTTCACTCTGCACATGGCCAGAACTGAGCCAATCTGAAGCCAGGAGCTTCTTCTGGGTCTCCCACGTAGGGGTAGGGGCCCAAGGACTTGAGCTGCCATCTACTGCTTTCCCAGGCCATAGCAGAGAGCTGGTTCAGAAGTGGAGCAGGGATGCCAACACTACAGGCTGTGGCTTTACCCACTATGCCACAGCGCCAGCCCTTCAAATTTTAAATAACCTGTACAACCCAGTGAGTTCTTCCATGATATTCTGGTACCCCTTAGCACATGATTTGAGAACCACAGAACTATCACATTTATTCATGTGGCCATTTAGAAAGTTTTATGTAGTAGTATAACTAAGGTGCAGAAGATCTGAAAATATGAAAAGTATATCTTGGGGTTTCTCTAAACAGTGTGTTAGTGATGGTTTCAGATATTTATAAGTGGGTTTTCTTTTTGTTTTAATTTGAAAGGCAGAACAGCACAGAGGGAGATACTCCATCAGCTGGTTCACTCCCCAAATGGCCATACTGACCAAGGCTGGCCTAGGTCGGCCTGGGGCCGGCACTGTTGTGCAGTGGGTTAAAGCCCTGCCCTGAAGCACCAGCATACCATATGGTGCCAGTTCTAGTACTGACTGCTCCTCTTCCAATCCAGCTCTCTGCTATGGCCTGGGAAAGCAGTAGAAGATGGCCCAAGGACTTGGGCCCCTGCACCCACGTGGGAGACCCAGAAAGAAGCTCCTGGCTTCTGATTGGCGCAGCTTCGGGCGTTGGGGCCATCTGGGGAGTGAACCAGCGGATGGACTACCTCTCTCTGTAACTCTTTCAAATCAATAAAATCTTTTTTTTTTTTAAGGGCAGGAGCCAGGAACCCCATTTTGGTCTTATATCTTTTCACTGCCTACCCAGGTGTATTAGCAGGGAGATAAATTGCACTCTGATGCCAGTCCTCATGCCGGGCTTTCTCCGCTTAAAAACTGCTTAGTTTGAACTCAAGACTTCCTCATTTTCCATTGCAGAGCTTAAGTATTTCACTTCAGCTATTACAGGCTGAAGTAGATTTAGTTCTTTTATTCCCTTTTGCAAATGATAAACAAATTTTTATTTTGAAATTAGTACTTCTGGGGCTGGGGCTGTGGTATAGTGAGTAAAGCCACCACCTGCAGTGCCAGCATCCCATATGGGTGCCGGTTCTGGTCCCAGTTTCTCCTCTTCTGATCAGGCGCTCTGCTGTGGCCTGGGAGAGCCCAGG